TGAAAAAGAGCAGTTTGTGTCAGAGTTCTCTCAGCCCCACCTACCTCACAGGGTGTCTGTTGTGGGGAGGGGAAGGGAAGGGAAAGGAGTTTGTAAACTGCTCTGAGACTCCAAGTGAAGGGTGGGGTATAAATCCAATCTCTTCTTCTTCTTCTTCTTCTTCTTCTTCTTCTTCTTCTTCTTCTTCTTCTTCTTCTTCTTCTTCTTCTTCCCATGGTGTGCGCAAAGCCCTCTCCAACGTTGACAAGAATGGAGAGGATCTTGTCCACATGGATTCTTGTTGAGCACCAGGGATGCCATGTGTGGACCCAGCATCAATGAATTGCTCTGTGCTTTTTAGAGTTGCCTCTATTCTTAGTTGCCCTTTTCAGACTTAGCAGCGCAGGTGAACAAGGAACCATTTCTTTAAATCGCATCTTACCCCTGGGTGTAGGCAAGCTATACTTCAAAATCTACTAACCTTAGAAAACATAGCAGAAAATCTTTACCGTGTGACTAATAAACTTGCATCTTTGCCTATATGTAATCAATATATCCCATCTTGGAAAGAGAAGGGTTGGGGGGAGATGAAATCGTTTTCAATGCTTGTTTTGGTCTGTTAGTTTTGTTTCCTGTGGATCATGCATTGATTGAATTATGGATGGCATTCATATAGAAATGACTGGGACAAGAAGTCTTTTTGGTTCTCTGTTTTCATAGGGTCTGTATTTCCTGGATATAATCCGATGCATGGATCTACTGCTGAAATGAATAAACTTCTTTCTGGATTCCACATATTTTAACAGTGATTGGGGTGGAACCAACCAGCTTTTTCACTGATAAAAATGGGAGGAAAGATCCCCTTTGACCACCCAGAAAGGATATGCAGGGGAACCTGACACCTGTGTCAGGCAAAAGCTGTAGTAAGCCGGGGAGCTGGGTGAAATTGAATGGGAAAGCTGGTTGGATCCACAATCTAAGCATTCTTCTAGGACTGAAAGACAACCCTAAAGACTGTCCCTTCACATCAGTGGGTCAAACAGCATGCAATCCGCACATAATACAGACAGACAGATATATGGATTAAGCAAGTTGGACAGGACCCATCCAAAGATAATTTTGTTGTTGTTCAGTCGCACAGTCGAGTCCGACTCTTCGTGACCCCATGGAGCAGATCACGCCAGGCCTTCCGGTCTTCCGCCGTCCTCTGAAGTTTGCTCAAGATAATAGCTCTGTTTATATCCCATTGGTTTCAGTGAGAGCTTTCAGTATGTGGTTAAAGTGCTTCTATTTAGCTGCATTATGCCAGTTATTTTTAACATCTATTCTGAACAGTCAGGTGCCATCTATATGGAACTCCTCTTTTGTAAAGGAGCAGGGCACTGTTGTATTGAGCTCTCCCACAACATGGGTTGTGCATCTTATGAAAGCACTTCCAGTGGCAGCCTGCTAATGACCTGCCTTCTGAAGAGACCTTTCTGAGTCAACAGCATTCATGAGAAGGCCATTCATTAATCAGATGTCACCAGGAATGCTTTCATTAGACTGTTCCACATGGTGTGAGAATTTGCATCATTCTATAGCTTATGCAGCTACAAGAATCAGCAACCTGGGTCCATCTCTTCTATATTTAGATATCAGGCAAAAACCCTTGAATGCAGCTGATTACACACACACGCACACATGCACACACACACACTGGTGGTTTTCTCATTATTGATATTTTAAATCTTTCTTATTTACATTGTTCAAATTTGAGTTGAGCAGCACCTTAAAGACCAAGAAGATTTTTAGAGTATAACTTTTGAGAGTCAAAACTCCCTTCATCAGATATAACAAAGGGAGACCTGGCTCTCGGAAGTTTATACCCTGAAATCTTCTAAGGTGCTCCTGGACTCAAATCCTGTTCTTCTATTGAAGACCAACACAGCTACCCACCTGAAACATTGTTCAAATTGTTAATTACCCTTTGTAAAAAGCCACCTTGAAAATCTGTATGGAAGGGCAGCTTGAAAATGCTTTAATAAGTAAATTAATATTCAGAACGGTTGCCATAATATAAAAATTGTCCTTAGTGTACAGTCTGGCTTGTTTTGCCTTGATTTGAGGAAGCTTTGGGGGTTGGTTGTTACATCTACTCAGTTTAGTATAGAGCCAGTTTGGTGGAGTGGTAGGGTTGCCAAGTGTGAATTGAGCCGCAGCGGGGTTTCCCTCGGATGACCGTGGCCCCGCCCCCAGCGTGCCCAGCGTGGTCACATCACTTCCGGGTGACGTGCACGTCGGGGTGGAGTTCCCCCCGGGGCCCGATCCGCTGGCGGCAGGGAACAGGCCTCTGGGGCAGGGGTTTCCCCGCCCCCCGGGGGGACTTGGAAAGCCTATGGAGTGGTTAAGTGCGCAGACTCTAATCTGGGACAACCGGGTTTGATTCCCCACTCCTTCACTTGCAGCTGCTGGTGTGACCCCAGGCAAACCATTGTTCTGGAACAGCTGTTCTTGAAAAAGAGCCGTTTCTGTCAGAGCTCTTTCAGCCCCACCTGCCTCACAGGGTGTCTGTTGTGGGGAGGGGGAAGGAAAGGCGTGTAAGCCGCTCGGAGACTCCTTTGGGTAGTGAAGGGTGAGGTATAAATCCAATCTCTTCTCTTCTTCTTAAAATAAACAACCCTAAAGTAATCAGAAAGTGTCTTTGCAAGAGACTATTAATGGTCTTAGAACAGCTTTTCTCTCTCTTATACTTGAATCCCAACGCCCAAGTGCAAAACCCACATGCAGTGCATAATTTCTAGTAGTGTACGTTGCACTGCTGTAAAAACAAACAAACACAAAGATGCATTTCATTCTACAGCACAAAGGCACTGCAAGAAACATGCCAACTGGGTCTCCCTGCGTGGTCATTTTCCTCAGCTGAGGAGTGGGTGGATTCTTGGGGCTTCCCTCAACCTTTGTCAACTCAGCACTACTGTCTGCATAGGGAACTGTGAACAAAATTCAGTGGCAGTGGCAGACAGCCTGAGGAAAATGATGACCTCCTTTCCAAAGTTGATTAAATGCAGGCTGCGTCCCCCTACATTCAAAATCAGAAGCCACACTTCATTTTCCAATGGAGGTCTTCATAGCTTCATATGGTCCAGAGCTCATCCCCAAAGCACGAGGACATGAGTGCAAACCTGAGCATGTGCAGAAACATCCTAATCATTAAACATGCATTCTATTATCCTCATGTCCTCCCTAAGCCTGGCCCAGGTCCTGGCAAACAGATGTGACTTCTGGAGTCAGAACTCCAGTCCCCAGTGTCAAGTATCCATACAATCAAACAAATGCCTGGGGGGCGGGCAAAGAAGAATGCTCTAGTCTGGTACCTGAAAATGAGATGATCAAGGATTGAGGGGGCCAGCTGGAATGAGAGTGTTCCTGATGCTAGGAAAACCCAAGTGCCGCATGACGGAGTGAGCTCCCGTCTCTGGTCCCAGCTCCTGCCAACCTAGCAGTGCGAAAGCAAGAAATTGCAAGTAGATAAATAGGTACCGCTTTGGTGGGAAGGTAACAGCATTCTGTGCGCCTCGGTGCCTAGTCATGCTAGTTATATGACATCTTTGGACAGCGCTGGCTCTTTGGCTTGGAAACGGAGATGAGCACCGCATCCCTAGAATTGGATTCGACTGGGTTTCGAGCAAGGGTGTGCATGCACACATCTTCAGAAGGAGTGTGCATGCACACAAAAGCTTATACCCAGAATTAAACTTTGTTGGTTTTAAGGGTGCTACTGGACGGGTTCTCTTGCTTCAGACCAACACAGCTACCCATCTGATGGGGGCCCCTTGACAGGAGCCTCAGCAGATAAAGTCAGGCAGATTCATATGGGAGCATATAAAGTATCTTCCTCTTTGATTCTGCTCCACGGCAGAATCCATCCCCCATGAATCTTAATGCATCTCTAAAAACTGGCCATTTTATAATCACAGGTGCTAGACTTGAGCAAGGGCGGAATCCACGCCGTCCTTTGCCCTCTGTGTATTGAAAGAGACATCAAGGAAAATAGCTGAAGTGGAAGATCGTCTACGAAATATTTCATGAATCCTTAGGACCTGCAGCATCATCTAGTGGATAAAAAGCTTAATGTGAATCAGAAATGGATTACTAGACATGGACCCAGTCTGCATGTAGCATTTGCTCCGTTGTTCTACCAAACCCACACTGGAACGGAAAAAGATGCGGCTCAAAACCACATTCAGATACCCCCGGCCAATGTCGTATTGATTGCAGAGTCACCCCTGAATGGCCATAAAACAGCCATAAATCTATGCAGACAGTTCCATAAAACCGAGAAATCCACTGAAGTGAAAGCGGCGTGCCGTCTGGATGCTGCCATAAAATCCGACAATCAATCGAAGTGAAAGTGGCATGCAATGCAGAGGGGAATTTCTGTTCCAGCCTGGGTTTGGTAAGACAGCAGAGCAAATACTAGAAGCAGATTGGGCCATGGTCATGAGGAATCGGCTACAGCTTGCACCTTAGGCTTGCCAAGTCCCCCCGGGGGCGGGGAAACCCCGCCCCAGAGGCCCGTTCCCCGCTGCCGGTGGGTTGGGCCCGGGGGGAACCCAACCCCGACGTGCATGTCCCCCGGAAGTGACGCGACCATGCCGGGCACGCTGGGGGCGGGGCCACGATC